GAGCCTGTCAGCGCGCTGCGGGGGGCCGCGGCCTAGGGCCCCCGCGCCGGGTGAGCCCGCTCGGCCGCGGCCTGTAGCCTACCTCTGCCCCGGCCGGGGTGGCCGTTGAACCGGCCCCTTCTCTCCCGGCACTCAAATCTCGACTTTTTTCGCACAACCTGTTAAACCCTGAAATCAGCCCTGCGCCCCCGGTTGCGGACCGAGACCGAGAGGTGGGCGCTGGGGTCTGCAGCGCTGACCCTTGGATTTCCCGGCGGAGGAAAAAGCGTTTCTGAGCCAGGTGTGGGCAGCAGTCCGGGTGCTGTCAGCCACGGGAACTTCTGTTCGACTTAGGACGTTGTTTCTGATTTTAGTTTCTCAGCCCTGACCTCATGCGGGCGTTGACGTCTTTGTAAGATGTCACTGAGGATGTATTGACGTTTCTTTGAACCCAAGCTTTTGTTTCAGTTCCTCGGTAACTAATATGGTCAGAGGGGTTTTGTAATTATTCCCTCTGTTTGGTTTCTGCCTTTCTCTAAATTTCATCTACATTTAGAACATCTCAGCACAGGGTTCCGATTCCTTCAGACTTCTTTGGGGAATGGGAAGCAGAGAGCTTTGCTGTCGCTCACCTTGGGGTGGTTTTGAAAGCTGGACACAAATTGTAGCATTACGAGCTTTGTGTCTTCATAACCCCTCAGCTTCCGGACAGACACATTTGTGTTCACTCCCCAAAACCGTTCTCATTCGAATTTTATTAGAGGAAAGACACTGCCTGTTGTTGGCGTTTATTATTGTGCATTGTATTCATTCTGACTGGTTCTTTAGCTAAAATATCCTTTAGTATTTCACATATGAGAACAAGGAACAAATTTAGCATTTTCAGAAAAGGAGCAGCTTTGATTTAGCAGCTCTTTTTCAGTCATAGCAAACATTCCAGGCTTTTCTGTGCATCTTGTGGAGGGAGAAACAAAGGTCTCAAGGCACGTATCCAAAATGGCCAGGTCTGCCAGCCTCTGGTCTAAACCTTACAGCAAGATATCAAGGTATTTGCTAGAAGTTCTTATGCTCTTCAGATGTGCACTGAGCTGCATGGTTTTCTTTGAAAATTAACTGGGTTTATCAGGAAATTTGTTACAGTAATACTGTATCATGACTCTCCTATGAGGAAAAAATATAACAGGAGGCTGCACACTGATCTACTGAGAAATGATGTTTTTTGGTATTTTAAACCTACAGAAGGGTATTCTATTAGGCTTCAGATTTTGGCTGGAAAAACTCCCAGCAGTGCTCTCCAGCCATTCTCTCCAGAAAGCCTGTTTGATCTATAGGACTTGGAGGGAGGACTTGTTTACAACAGGCTTCCAACTGAGTAATTTCACACTATTCTAGTAAAAAATAGGTGCTTCCTTAAAATAAAAAAACCTCTGTGTGGAGAAATCCAGGCCCCCTCTGTGCATCCCTAAACTAAGTGATAGCATTTTCATTTTTCAGTGGCTTGAATACTTGAAAATATGGAGGTGTAGAGATTAATTCTGTTGAATGATCGTAATGCCACTCTTTGTTCTGTTTAAGTATGATGCTATCAAAGATTGCGTGCCTTTGTAGTAGATGTTAAATATTTCAAACTGATAATGAAATAGATTTGCAGTGGCAACGGGTTTGCTACTGAAGATATCAAAGAGTTAACGTGTCTGTAACAGTTTGATTGCATTGGGAATAGTGACATTTTATAGGTCACTAGTGTACCTCTGAAGGGCAGAAGGCATGATGGTGGTGTCTGTTTCAAAATCATGCGGTCTCTATTGAGAAATACAAACGCTGTGGCCTAGAGAGAATAGGAGTGAGCAGAATGCCTGTTAGCGTGTAGACTGTTGAACAGCAAGACTTAAACCTGTGTATTGCAAAAACTGTGTTCAACCAAACTTGTGCCTTAATGTTGGGCTGGAGCAGAAGTAATGGCAGAGAATGCATAGGATTGGTAGAAGTTAAGGGGCAGAAGTGGAAGATAAGTCCTAAATGACACAGACCTGAGGTAGGGAAGATGCATCGTCAAATGGTGGTGAGATCTGTTAGCCAGATGACCAACTCATCCTTGCTCTGCTGAAGCCATGGATATTTTGTCTTTTGTCTTGGTGCTGCTATGAACTCTGGAGTCCCCTCCAGAGCAGATCACTGCTTCAGCAGGAACTACCAGTTGCAGCTGAATGAGCATTTCAACCACATAGTTCCTTAGTTTGTATGTGTTGATAGCTGAAGGTTTGGCTCAAGGTGGTGTGTGAAACTCAGTTTGTCTAGTGTCCTGGCTAATTAGAAGGAAGGCAGGAATGAAGGCTTTTCAGTGATGCTGCTGGAGTTGAAAGTTCATCTAAGATTTGGATTACACAGAAGGATAGTAGTGGAAGTTTTGCATGGGTCCAGGAGCCTGGAGTTTTTCTCAGTCCATTGGGGGTCGTTTTCCATCCAGT